TTAATGTAAGAACTTAAAAATGATGCAGAATTTTAGAAATAAAGGTCCAGACCAAAATCTGCTCAAAAGCTCAGGATCGAACCTCCTTAAGCAATGATACATTACAAAATCTATTTTTACTGTATTAATGTGGTATTGATACAGTGACTGATTACAAAGTCTTTCGCACTGATTGAATGATTAATTGATTGTATGGGTTTTTTTTTGTCCCGTTCGAGAATATTTTCACTCATATAGAGACGTCACCATATACCGGTGAAGGGCTTCAAATTTAGACCTTTACTCGGCACTCAGGACCATTAGCTAGTGAGGGTTCTTTATCGTGCCATCGCCTATCGTGACACGTGGCCTCGGTTTTCAAGGTCTCATCCGAAGGACCCGCAACTTTCACTTCAAAGTGCTGAGCGCTTGGTAAAGGATCAGTTGCTACCTGAATTTTATCGACTAAAGTCAGTTGCGGTCATGATTCGAATACACGACCTTCCGATCACGGAGTGAGCGCTCTACCAACTGAGCTACCGTATCGGTTCTGCATTAAATGAATCACTGTCTATTCTGCATAAATTATCCCACGTTTCCATCTGTTGTTAATGGGTGAATTAAAAAAAATGACCACAAAACTGATTTTTTTTGGAAAAATTCAACTACTTATAACATATTTTTCATTTATATCATCTTATTGCACATGCATTCTTGTTTAAAATCCTGAAGTGGCAATAGAAGAGACAATTGGATTAAAAAGTTTCAGAATTTTTATTAGTAAAATTTCTTTTGAAAAAAGAAAATATCATTACACCTTAAAAGACTTTCTACAATACATAATCACAAAATTTTTAGTTTTTTATGCTTCAAAATGGTAAAAGGGGTATATCTGATTAAATCTGGACCTTGATTGAGTATCTTCTCTTGTATATGTGACAAAAAATTGGCTTTTTGATTGTTATTTTACATTATTTTTTCAATTCTGGTTTGAAAAGTTTTAATATGAAAAAAATATGAAGCAATAAAATTCCCCAAAATTCACGTTTTTGTCCGTTCAAGTCAGTTCTTTAAATCTAAGCCAAAAAAGAAGTTTTATATACGAGTTCTCTTACAAAAAATACTAGATTTTGAAGGTACCCTATGTTACATTATTGTGTTGCACTCCTGACATCTGATATGTATCTTATTTAACATTGTTTTAAAAAATATTACGCACAATAACCCATTCTTACTTTGTAAATCAATTTGTCGTTTTGATATTTTCATCGTTTGCGACAGGTTTTTCATATTTTGAAGACCTTAACACATGATTATTTGCAAAGTGTAATGTATATAAATTGTATTTAAAAATATATGTAAAATGATAAAAAAAACCTATTCACTGAATTGACTGTAAAATTTATTTCTGTCATTTGTTGATAGACATAGTGTTTTGAACATCAAATAGTATCAAACATTTTTTTTCAACTTATTTTTTAGAAAAGATAGCTAAAAAGCATTGGTAATTATAAAGCAGTTTTGTTGCATTCCTGACTGCAGTAAAATTTAAAATTAAGACCATAGAACACAAAAATTCATAAAGTGTTGGCAACATCAAGTGGTAATGAAATTGTGCAATATTTATAGCCCAATAATTCATAATTAAAACGTATGAAAGTATTTAAAATTCACATTTTATCTGGAATTATTCCCTATTTATGCCAAAATCTAGCTTAAATGTATATTTTATAGCATATTTTCCTATAGAGGATAAACACAGTAAACCACCAGAAAAATTCTACTCAGCATTTTTTTCTTTATTTTTATTCTTATTGGATGATTTATAATTCTAACATATTTGTTGCACTCCTGACCAAAAGCATAGGGGCTTTTAAAGTAGAATTGTGAAGTGAAAATTACATAAGAACTTGTTCTGTTGTTTCAGTGAAGTTGAGGAGGAATTATTTGAATTTTATGACAATTTTTAAGTGTATTTAATTTCAACGTTCATTGAAAAAATCACAAAAAGCTAAAAACACATTTGAATTGATAAAATTGAAAAAGGAAGGATTTTGATAATAAAACTTTCAATAATTTAGTATTAAATTATACAAAGAGATCATTATTAATTAATGAATACTTCTAAGCTTGAATAGAAGTGTTTTTGTCACACAACTTGAATCTTTAAAAAATGTGTTGCACTCCTGATCATAGAAATATAGAACTGAAGCACAGACAGACCCTGTAATTGATAAATCTATTTGATAAAAATGTTTTTTGTGTCTTTATTTTCCAAAATAAAAATCAGAAAATCATATAATGATAATAGTTTTTTCATGCTTGGGATAATAGTTTTTTCATGCTTGGGAGGAAAACATCAAATGTTGCACTCCTGACATAATTGGGTATGCACATACACTTGACTCTCATTAATGCTGCTTGTGATTTACATAACATTTATAAGTTTTAAAATGTATATCAGTTATTGGTTTACACTTTGAAAATTCTTTTTTGTCTCAATTTTCTTTCAGAATTTTACAGTTGATGTTTTTTTGGCAACATTATGTAATAGTGTTGGATTTGTGCAAAAATAAAGTAACAGGACTTTCCAGAAAATATATTTTAACTTTTATTTACATTCGTTATTCAAAACCTTGCTAGATCCACCCCTTAGTTCTCCCTTACCTGTACACACACACACACACACACCCTCCCTCACACACACACACACACACACCCACCCTCACACACACACACACACCCACACACACACACACACACACACACACACACACACACACATATATATATATATATATATATATATATATATATATATATATATATATATATATATATACCTAAGGACATTTGTCAGATGTTTTGAAGTGGACATTGTTATTTTGTTTTTTATTGGTTATTGATTTGAAAGGTCTGATTCTATTGGTTTTATTGACTGGGTTGGAGTTTTCCCGCTTTATTATTTTTCCAAAAAAGACATTTTGACTTCAGACAGATTTCCATCTCTGGTAAGTTACTAATACTAATTTCATATTTTAAATGTTCATCCTATAGTATGCAAAAGCCATTTCCATTTGCACGTACTAAAGTGAATGAATGAATTTGAGAGAAAGTTATTTCATGATGTATATTTATTATTGATTATAAGATCAATATTAAGTATTTGACAGAAGTAATTTGATGTTAATCACATTATATGTTTTTATGATGATCAAAGATACATTTGATGATATTGTTCAAAGTGAGCAATTGATATATTTTTAAAGGGATAATATTTTTTAATATCATTGTATTAAATTACAGATCGCCATTCATATATACAATGTAGACATTGTACTTAGACAAATTCTCGGGAAAGCCTATTCCCATAGAATGGTGAGATTTAGATTTATATGTTTTTAATCATAAATATTTTTTTTATGACTATTATGTGAGTAATATGTAAAGATTTATATATTCGAGAGTTATCTCCCTTTGATGACAATGTAAATATAAACGATGATAATTCAATAATTATCTTCATGTAAAATAATGAACATTGTGTGTGATAATTATTTACATTATATTTGTTATTTTATGATATTTACAGGGCTTACAATATACTACGTATAATGATTCCAATATAACTTGATCACTCCACTGTGAAATAAATCTTTGAAGAACCCTGAAGGAGTGTTGTGTTTGTGTCATTCCATACCCCTGTTACAACTACATTTTTCTGTTGCACTCCTGACATGGTATAACATTTCTTTAAACATCAGCCATGACCACAACTTGATTAAACAAAAGTTACTACAGTCCACATTTAAAGCTCAATACTTTGAATATTATCAGGAAAGTCTTTATTTTCAACATAAAGCATTATTATTCATTTCACAGATCTCCAAAAAATATTGAAATTTCAGAATGTCACAAAAAGGTGTTGCACTCCTGACAATTTTGGCATCATTTTTGGACATAACTATTTTGTTAATTGAGATATCAACGAGATATTTGGTAGGTATTTAGACACTATCTAAAGACATATGCTGCGACATAGAAATCTATTTTCATTGCCTGTATTTTTAGTGTGGTTTGATAAATATGCGTTTGGTCATTTTTTTGAATTCACCCTAATGTCTCTGGCATACCCAACAAACATTTATTCCTTACGTTTACATTTATATATATTTAAAAAAAAATAAATAAATAAAAAGAAAAAGAAAGAATCGAAATATACGAAGCATCCCATGTTGATTTCATTGTCCCTGCCCACTAACGTTAAAAAATGACAGCACGGGAAATTGACATGCATTTCGGCACTTGACTTTTCACTTGTTGAAATTTACACTCAGTTGTAAATACATTTTACACTGACTCATCTGTATAACATTATTTTATCAGTGACACATCAAGCAGTTTAATCTGTACTGCATTGTTTTATGAGTGACACATTACACAGTCTAAACTGCATTACAGTGTTTTATCAGTGGCATATTACAAGTCTAATATGTATTGCATTGTTTATCAGTGCCTTATTACACTAGCACAGTTTAACAAGAGGCCCATGGGCCACATCGGTCAACTGTTCACTTTGGCTACTGATAGAGAAAAACAGAAATTGGTTCATTATTGAAAAATAAAATATATAACTCGTCCCACCCTACCCTCTAGGGTGATGGTTTGAACAAACTTGTATCTACACTACCCCAGGATGTTTCGGTATTATGTTCTCGAGAAGATTTTTAAAAGTTTTTTTTTCTCTCCATTATATTCTTATGTAAAAGTTGATGCCATACTGTGGTACGCCCTACCCCAATAAACCTTTTGTCATAAGAATTATAAACATTTCTAGATTGTACTCTGTAAATAGGGATGCAGATTATAACGTACCTTATTTAAAACATAGAATGATTATTTATATTGAGTAAGAAGTAAATCATATAGAGATGCTAAAACTCTTGTTTGTAAAAAAAAAAAAAAAAAAACTTCACTAACAATTTCATTATAAATGTTTCAGGGTTGATTATTCATTAACTCTAGCCTTTGTATCTGATCATCATCACAGTCTGTTTTAAAGCTTCAATTCTTTTCCACTGCCACCATATCGGGTATCTATTACCATGCACAGCAGATTGTGCGTACTCTCCGTTCAGGTTTGAGTGGAGACAAGCGTTGTACCACCAGGCTCCGTGATAATCTGTAGCACAGCTACTCCTGTTGTTGTCATTGTCTTGATCCTGTGTACTAAATTTTATACCATTATGATAACCCAAACTGTCACCTGAAACAGAGTATAGATAACAGTAAAGTCTACTAATTATTTACAAATGATTTTTCGTAACACAGTGACATGTTTTAGGATATTGATGATATTTAAATGATATTTTTAGCATCACGACAAGAAAAAAGAACTTGAAATTTGAATGATGTGTGTACGCGTATATCTTAATTTGAAACGCTGTTCCACAATCTTTCTGTAAACTAAACTTCATGGCTAGTGACGTCTCGGCAGCAATGATAGAAATGATACCTGAGAAGATTACCGGATCGAGTTACTTGTTATAAATTGTTTTAAGGACTTTTGAGCTTGAATACTGTTCGTTATCTCCATAAATTTCATCAGGTTGTGAGTAAACATTTAGTAGCTTGTGTCTAGTGTCATTTTAAATTTATTAAAAACAAAAACGATTAAAAGATCTGAGCTCATAGTACAGTAGTCATGGGCGTTGGCAAATAATCAAAATGTCGCTAGTTCAATCCAGCTGTTTATACTGTATTGTGTCCTTCCATATGATACCTATGTACAGTGTCTCAGATCAGTCTCCTGAGAATGGGTAAAGGTTTACACTAAGAGTCAGCTAGCGATGGAAGGGTGTCTCATCCAAGAGAAGACCTTCATCCATTTAGCACTACAGAAATCATATATATATATGACCCTTAGACCCACATGGCTTGGGAAGGATTTAAGTTAGCTTTAAAAATAACTACGGGGGCCGTTCAGAAATTACGCGGACTTGTTGCACAGAAAATATATTTGACGACATAATCAAGCAAAAAGTCATAAATGATATAAAAGAATCTTTTCAGATATGATCATCAAAATTTCATATCAAAATATTGTAAATTGATATCAATTTCAAGTGATTTAACAGGACATCTCATGAAGTCACGGCGCAGTAAACTTTCAACGTCAAGGGCATTTTAAAAAATGGGAGCTTTCATTTTCTCAATATTTTCCCTTAGTATTTGATACTGTATAGTTTGGGTTACCTTATCCACTCAAAATAAACATCCATATAACATTTCCGATTCAGCTTTAAAACTATAAAACTATTATTGTGTGTTTTAGTTTGTGTTAAACCCCAAAACTGCAGATATTTCTGAAGTTAAGTTTGACGTCAGTCGATCTCAATCACATTCTTAACAGCCCAGATCAGTGTTTTGTCGATGAACTTCTTCCATCCCTCCCGGATTGCCTTTTGACTGAGGTCTAACAGTCTAAAATTCTTTTTTACATTTTGTAGAGATGTGTCGGATATTCCTCTGGTTTACTATATGTTTCATTAGGATTATTTTGGGTCTCTATTTGCGTTTTCCCAGAATGATTCACGATTTGATAAAAGTGCGCTGCTCCGTCAAATCACGAGACGTCATTTTTGCAGTTGATTTCGTAGGGGTCACATCGGAGAAAAATTACAATATTTCTGTTAGTACTTCAAATATTACGCCAGAAATCTAAATACTTAATAATAAAACAATAAAAAGAAATTCTAGAGAAAATTGTTGAATAATATCGTGAAATATGGAAAATAAATGAATAAAATTTTGGATACCGCATGTTTGGTTTTCAACATTTTTGCCGTGCTCCGCATATCACCATCAGCAGTATCAAAACGGCAATAATTTTATGAGATATGAAATAAAATCAATAAAATTTACCAAGAATTCATTGGAATTTTGAAGAAATATGTTCCTGTGAAGTTTCAATTCTATATGACGTCTATAAGAGTAAATAATAGCAGAGTCCGCGTAATTTTTGAACGGCCCTCGTATTATGTGATATGGAACTTTGAAGATAAATTGGTATAAATGAAATAAAGTATATATACCCAATTTTTTTCTATGTACTGAGACACATATGTTCTGCACTATCTGCATTTAACATCTTTCATATATTTTCATTATACAATACTTTGATCCCACAACTCACCCGCTGTTCCGTTGTAACCAGATACCGTGATCGTGTATTTATTGTTTTCATCTCCGATGTAAAATGTGGTATACACAGCATAGGCCTCTTCTCCATTATGACTCCGGAGGTCTAGTCGGAGTTCTTGGTCCTGATCTTTGGTTAAAGCATGGATTGCATCATTCCCTTTGTTATTGAAATAAACATTTATTATTTTGCATATTTTAAACATCATCTTTTATTTACCATGACATTTTTAAAATTTGACATCAAAACCAATTAAACAGTGATGTATAAAGACGCAATGTATTATGGACCAGTTTTTATTGAAAACAGACTTAGTTTGGAGGAAGAGAATGATTTTATATAAATTATTAGAATAGAAGAATAGTTGAAATCACGGTAACATATAAATATCAGAATGTAAGAGAATTCATATATTGGGTCAGCCAAGAATTACTTAAATGAGGAATATACTGTTGAAAGACTAGCCTGTTAAAAGGACTCGCATTCTTCATTATTTATGAGTATATCAATATTTGCTGTTAATGTTAAATGAAAAAAAAAGATAAATTTTATTAAGACTTCAAACGTTCCTTATTCCGCCACAGATTTTGACAAAAATGCACAAACATCTTTATTTAGGTATTTTTAGTATAGTGTATCCGTGTTCCGAGTTTAATTGAAATAGGTATTAAACAGTATAGTTAGTACAGTATCAAACATAGTATCTGCCTTCATTACAAACTAGGATAAAAATACATCAGATTAAATCATTCGAATTCATTTTTTTGGGGGGGGGGGGAGGGATATATTCATTCGTTATGTTCTTTCACAATGGTGTAGATGACGCCATTTTGTAAAATAGATAGTTGTCCAAAGGACATGAATGCCCCTCCCAGGGTTCATAACTAATAATGAAACCCGAAAAGATTTTTTTTTTTTAAATGAGCCTTGTCTCTGTGTTTAATTTTAGGATTAATCAGGAATAGTGAGGGCAAGGTCACAGAGAAGGTGAGGTCAGAAAATTGTGACACAGTTGAATAGCTCTAATGAATTTGTATTAATGTATGAAGTTTAATGAAAAATATTTTGAATAGTTTCTTTGAAATAAAAAAGGGTGAAGATCACGAACAGTGATCGATTTCATAAAAACTGTTAAGACTACAGATCTGTAAACAGGGCATAAACACGGCCTTCTGGAAATTCCAGAAGTGAGATCAGATGTCTAGGAGGAGTAAACATCCCCTGTTGACCGGTAACACCTGCCGTGAGCCCTTTGTATTGATCAAGTAGTCAGATCATTCCGTAGTCAATTTAGTATAAAAACAAAGGTCTAACAATTGGTAGGACACAAGTAAGCTAAAATACGATCCAGTGATAGGTGAAATTTGCTTATAAGGTCATTATGACGACCACAGAATAAATGCTGACTTAAAACAATTTTGTCGAAATCCCTGTAACATCAATTTATGTGTGATTAGTCTGCCTCGTTTTAATAATTTGATCGTACTCAGGACATGCTCTGGAGTAGTTGGGAAGTTGGGAGACATAAACACCATATATGCAAGTGGTAGCGGAATATTACTATATAAACAATGAAAGTTGACAATGGAAAAGCTGAAATCATCTCGTTTGTCATACAATTGCGTTGTTAGTTGGTCTTTGTCGTCTATAGTCAGTAAAACATTCAAAAATGAAGCAGATTTGGCGGACTTTTTGGTGTTTTTTATTTTTATTTCAAGTTCACTGGGATAAATCGATTCGACATATAAATGTCGTCTATACATCTGAATGTCGAGTTGGTGGCCACGGCAAGTGTTTTCTTTTTCATGTAGAAGTTTGTGTATAAATTGTGCTTCATACGAATAAACGTAAGTAAATTTTAAACAAAACAAACAAAGGTCATAGAGAAGGTCAAGGTATAAAGAAAATTGTACACAGTTGATAAATTATCACCAATATGTAACAGTATACTTGTTTAGATAAGAATATTATGAACAATTTCTTTAAATTCAACTAACACGAATTTTAGAATAGTGAGGTAAATGTCATAGAGAAAGACAGGGTCGAAATCTATAGATGTAGTTGAATAGGTCTCACTAAAACGTATCAACATTTAAGAAATAAATAACAAGTTTAAAAACTTCTCTGGAAAATGAAGTGGGTCGGTCACGTGATCAAATCCTGTGAAGGCCGAAGGCCTTCTCAGAAGAAAGACTTCATACAGATATGAAGATATTGCTCTCTATATGTTTATATAATGGAGAGAAACCACAATTGTATATATTATTATATGAAGTTTGATAAATACATGTATATATATTTTGAATGGTTACTTTGAAACTTAGCTAAATACAGACTTAAGAAACATGAGGTTAAGGTCAATTTTGATGCAGTTCAGAATCACTCATCACGTTTTTCAGCATTTCAAGTTTGTTTCTTGGAATTTAAAGAAAAGTAAGAAAGGTCAAGGTCATTTTTTGTGAAATTGAACAGCTCTCACTTATATGTGTCAGCATATGATGTTTGATAAAATATTTAGAATTGTTTCTGTATGTAATGTAAAATATTTTCCTTGCATACTTTTTTCTACAAATAAAGAAGCTTATTGATTTGGTCCCGTTGAAGATATGGATACGCTTATTTATCTTCGTAAGCACAGGCACGTGTTTATATAATAATTTTGTCCCAATGGTGTATTTACTGAAAAAAGTGTTTGTGTCGTTAGCCATGTAAAGATTTACAGATACAAGATTTTCTGCGCACTCTCGCCTAACCCTCTACAGTTCAATAAACTCGCTTGTTGCCAATTTGTTGTCGGATGGGATAACGAGTTTATTGGACTGTAGAGACGACTATAACATGTATAAGTGGTTAGGAGGTGGATAAAATATACAGGTTGGTTATAGAATATGTCTAGAATTAGGCGATGAAAGGTTCTTGATTGATCAACTGGAAAGTGGCGAAATACATTGCCAAAGTGCGCAGAAAATCTTGCCGCGCAAATTGCACTTTATTTACATTACAGGATCTGTAGCGGTATGGTCAAAACCTAAAATATAAAACCATAACGCTACAGTTCTGCAGCTAACACAAACACACACGCACCCTGAAAAAAAAAACAGTGTTCACCTGAATTAGTTGAAGAAAATTCTTTAAATACTAATACTAATAATATAAAAACCTTTGTAGAAACCACACGCTTAATAACAAACTTAATCAATATTATTAAAAATCAAAAGTTGGGCTAAATTTCAGCAACAGAGTTTTAATATAAGTATGTAATTTTAAAAACATTCAATGCTGTAAAAGATTTTAGATGTCAAGTATATTATATATTTTCATTGAAGATTCTAGTATAAAAACGTTTGCACATAGACGATGAAAGGCTTTTCATCTTTAAACAAGCGCATTACCATTACAAATAATACTAAAGTAAACTATATAGTTAACTTTGACACTCTGAAATCTTTAGATAACTTTGATTGACACTTTGATTACTATAGTGATAACTTTGTAAACTTTGATTTACTATCATGATCACTGTGACACTATGACAATAACTATGAAAACTTTGAAATATTATTAATAGTGACAACTTTGAAAACCTTGATTTATATAGTGACAACTTTAAAACTTTGATTTACTATAGTTAGCAATAGTATTTTTATTAGGGTACAAACTAAATGATCATTTCTAAATAATTAAGACAGAAAAGTAAATATTTCTATCGTTTAACAATGAACTGGTGTAGCAAGATTTAATTCTAATTCTAATCTAATTCTTATGCTATAGTTTTCATTAATCTATGATTATTCAAAAATCATTTAAATATTGTAGAAGAGATTTTGAAAAGAAAATCCAGATCAAGGCCAAAGCGTGTGAAAAACGTGTATATAGCCTTTCGGGCAGAATATCGTGTAACTATGCAGCGTTTCGTGCAAGCGTCTTATGTAAATTGTGTAGCGTTTCGTGTAAACTGTGTAGCGTTTCATGTAAACCTGGAACGTTTTGTGTAAACCATGCAACGTTTTTTACAAGCCTTGTAGCTTTTCGTGTAAACCATGCAGCGTTTCGTGCAAAGCTTGTGGCTAGCGGGTACAGTTTGTGCAGCGAGCGTGTAGGGGTAGTAGTGTCCTTTCTAACAAATTTTATATCTTACATGAAATCAGCAAATTGACATTCGTCATGATATTTATTTAAGAAATGAAATTTGTCAGTAAGGACAGAGGCACAATTCAGGGTCTAGAAACGGACTTACAGGGGTATTTTAATTGAATGTTGCTTAACGTCCCATTTGAGACAGAGTTCGTTGAGAAACAAAGACACAGTAGTACGCAAAGAATAGTTACGCGAGAATTATTTTTTTTATTATACGGAATAAACTTAGATTGCATTCAAAGTAAATGTTGAGATGTTCCATAACATACCTATCCAATAGTTTTTAGAAGCATTCCCAAATCCCTCCTTGTACACGTTCCATGTTCTATAAAAATCCAAGTTGCCGTCTACTCTTTTCTGAATGGTCTGTAAACAACATTCATTTATTGACTTAATAAGTATGTGTCATAGATATGAAAAATAAATGGACACTACATAACTCTTCCTATTAATTTGTTGTGGAGTGGAATACTGCTTTTCACTACTTTTTTGGTAATCTTAAGTAGCTGGAAGATAAGAAGTATTCTAGATTTGTTTTAAACACATTAATGAACAATTTGTCACATTCTTGTATTGGTCAGCTAACTAAAAGAATTGTGTTCATTTTGTCAGAAAATGGAAACATGCAGAAGAAGCTTATTTTAAGTAGCGTTGGAATCGGGACCTCCATGATTTAGTAATTGTTTTCATATTCATTGTCATGTTCCAATTATCTCTAATAAAAGAACATTTCATTCAAAACACTAATCACCGTCCACCCTCCTCCATCTGTCGTCATGTCACAGAAGTCCTCTCTCCAGGTGTTGCCGATGTATAACATTGACAATGAAACACACTACTCACCGTCCACCCTCCTCCATCTGTCGTCATGTCACAGAAGACCTCTCTCCAGGTGTTGTCGATGTATAACATTGACAATGAAACACACTACTCACCGTCCACCCTCCTCCGTCTGTCGTCATATCACAAAAGACTTCTCTCCGGGTGTCAGGATAAATTACATAAACTCCATCTTGTCTTTTTCTACTAGGATCTCTTTTCAAAATCTCTGAACAATCTTTGTAGATTTTTTCTATTTAATGTATAAAGAAAAAATTCACTTAAAATTCTACTTATTCAATTGTTTATGCAACACATCTTGTAGAACACATTATTTATTTTAGAATTGATTAATTATCAATTGCTATGTATGTTTGCACAACAGTGCGTACTGACATGACGTGGTGGGTTCCATCTTTTCTTAAGAAAAAAGACAATTATCAAAGCGAATAATACTCTCAGTGATTTAATAATTTGGAATTTACAAAAATGTTCGACATTAGTGTCAAACTTTGGATTATCAAACAAAGGTGGTTCTACATAACCTCAAATTCAGTATCGCTAAGATTCATTTACAAATGTCTATATACATCATTTCAAAATTAACTGTGGCGCAATACTGGCGGTCATTGCTAGACCAAATTCGCGAGGAAACCACTGAATAAATTTAAAAACACACAACTCTTCTGAATCATTAATTTAATACATAAAATGTATAATTTATATGGTAAATTGAAAAATAAATTTCATAATATCTAAAAATAATTGTTGGATATCGGGTAAACATAGTGTGAAAGAAAAATTAAAATGCTTCCAATATATATGCGTACTGTGAAAAAAGCTCCCCCTTACACATACACACACCAACCTACATAATGTAATTATCAATAAATAAAAATTCGCTTTTGAAATCTGAAAATAATAGACCAGTAATAACAAGTTTTAAGTGCTTTATCCTGATTTTTTTAAAAAAAATCTTATTTACAAAAAGAAAATCATATACCTCAGTGCCCCTTAAAGGGTAGAGGAAATTCTGGAAGGGCATACAATCAAGCTTTTATCTATATATTTGCAATTACTGGTCTCTTTTGATTAAAGTATCTTAAAACTTGTGAATTAAAAACACATTAGCACTTTAGAGTCAAAAAATACTATTTTGATGCATGGATCTATCGTTAATTTTTCAATATCACACCATACATGATTTTTATTCACTGCACTTCTTAGGTAAACTCCTGCTGGCGCTTTGCAGTATTTTTACAAGGTCAGAAAATGAAAGACATAAGTTCAGGTGTCGTCAATTGTGGATGCTGTAATAAAGTTTTCGGTTAAAGAGGAGAAGACAGAAGCATTCATTCTTTATTTCGTCTGAAAGGGAGATTCAAAATCAGCAATGCAACGTACAATCAAACATATTTATAACATTATTGTATATAATAAGTTTTAAAAAATAACGATAACAGTTAGTAAAAATTAAATAAATTAATAAAGAAATTTGCGTGAACGAAAGTAACACAGAAGTAAAAAATCGGGCAAAAGACTAGATTCTAGATTGCTGAGATTGAATAAAATTGAGCTGCTGCGTCCATAATATACGTTTAGCAGGTATAGATCAGGGCTATTAAAAGTTGAGAATCGTGCGGAAAAAGTTCGGGCTCCAAGGAAGAACATAGAAAGCTGAGGGAGCCCAGAGAGTTCTGCACCAAGGGTAATATCAAAATCTTCAATTATAGTTTCCCACCAAGCGTCTCTATATATGGTTGTTCCAGAGCATAAAGTAGACAGATGGTCAAAAACGTTTCTGAACGTTCTGTTGCAAATCGGAAAATATTCTTCAGGTATATCCAAAAGAGTTTAAAGCTTAGCGATAAATTTGCGTAGCTGAATTTCATATGTGTTTGTAGGGATAGAACAGAGGCTTTTAGGCGATTTTTCTAAACACACAATATTAAACTGCGAAAAATCGGAGTCATTATTCATGCGCTCTTGCCTGGATGATGAGACAAGTGCAAGAATAGATGTTCTGACAGTTTTTTTTCCATTCAAGCTTTAAAGGGAAAGAACCTTCACACATGTACTGATTCAGGTAGTGACAGAGGTTGTATTTGGACAGTACCGCAGGTGCCTGATACATTAGAAGTGAAAGGTACGGGTAGTTCGGATGAGACCTTAAAAATCCGAGTTCCCTTTATCAAGATAAGCCTTGGCACAATAAAGAACCCTCACTGCTCAATTGCCGTGAGTGTCAAAAAATAGGTCTTAATTTCAAGCCCTTCACCGGCATACGGTGACGTCTCTACATGAGTTCTCAAATGGGACGTTTAACAACATAAAATCAATCAATCCCTTCTTTCCCTAACAAACAAACACCAGACTTGGAAAGAAAACAATCTTTATTGAGCATTATAAAATAAATACTGTTTGCCCTAACAAATTTAAAAGACATTTCCTACAATATAATTGAAGTAATTTCTTACCTTTCAAAACAGGTACACATTTACCACCAATACAAATGGAATCCTCAGTACAGGTATTGTTTAAGCAATTGCCCGCAAAGTGCTGAAGTTAAATCAACTCAGAGTTGTGATTTGTTTAAAATGTGATTAAATTCAGTTTTATTTAAATATTACAAGATCTTTTTCTTACCACTGGAAAATTTTCCCGTTCGACATGAAAGATTTGACCTTTAGTTATCAGACTGCTGTCATTCTTGATGACAAATCTTGTGTTTAGCCTGCATGTCTTTTCTTCGTGTATCCAATCCACTGAGCAACACAACTTAAACTTGAAACAAATCATCATGCACATTGCAATATCGGCATTTCTCAAAAGTTTAAAACCTGGAACTGTGTAATTTTCATAATTGCTAACGAGCAAAGTTTTTGGGTCGAATGGGTCGAAGCACTGAGAGAAGCATGTATGTAACAGAGCTAGAACTTGTCCAAAACGGTAGAGACCGATCATAGTAAGACTTAAAAACATTCTTTTAAACGATATGTTGGTCAAAATATCGGTGGGTTCTACCAGGACAATCAACTGCTTCTATTGTCTTCATTCCTGTAACATATATAGCAGTCGTTAAATTTTGATTGATGAAGTCTCACGTGATAGTTCCCTCGGCAGTATTGTTCAATAGTAAAAATACTGTCGATCTAAATTTTATTAATGATTTGAGTAAATTTGAAAAAAAAAGATATAGGTGGCAATGGTCGGTGTTAGGGGAAGGAGGAGTCATTTCATCTTTTTTTTTTTTCTTAATGATTAATTGATCTATGACGTATGTTGTATATGTATTAGACCAATACAGATATACCGGGGAGATGTTTAAGGATTTCAAATCCTAAGTACCCAGAAGGCTCTTTTGGAAAGCGAGACAAAACATGAATACTGGCTGTTGCAAAATGAAAATGGTTGTATGTATATGCTATTCATATACCATGTAAACAATAAAGAGAAATCTTTCTTGTAAATGATTTATTTCTTTATAAAATGTATTAGATAATACATCCTTTATATATCATTCTTCTAATATTTCATCGCTGCTTTCTTGTAAATAGTCGCCCCCGTGGCGCAGTGGTTAGAGCGATTGCTCTAGAGTCGCGGAGTAAGGAGTTGATCCTTGCTTCGCGGGCTTGAATCCCACAGTGGGACGTGGAGACCGGTCCTTCGGATGAGACAGTATAAACCGAGGTTCCGTGTCGCAGTAGGTGCTGGAACGAAAAAGATCCCTCACTGCTCAATGGCCTTGAGTGCCGAGTTTAGGTCAAAATTTGCAGCTCTCCACCGGCAAGTGGTGGCGTCTCCATATGAGTGAAAATTTCTCGAAAGGGACGTTAAACAAACAAACATTGTAAATAGATGTCAATGCTACTTGCATTGACACTTGCATTCTATAAAATCCGAAAAAAATTAAAGTTAAATATAATTAACTAAAGTTAACTATAGTAAAACTTTGATACGTTGATTCACTATGACACTTTACTCTGGAACTTTTTTGAGATTTCAAAGCTTAAAATCTCTTAAATTTGATAACAGTGATGTAAAATTTGGAAATAATATGTCAATATACAAGTAATTGTTCCATATAATATAAAAATGTGCATGTATGAATTAGAGAACATAAAACATAACAATCTGAAATCCACAGTAAAAATACTTTGATTAAATATAGTAAAAACTTTGATTTACTATAGTAAAAACTTTGATTTACTATAGTAAAAACTTTGATTTACTATAGTAAAAACTTTGATTTACTATAGTAAAAACTTTGATTTACTATAGTAAAAGCTTTGATTTACTATAGTAAAAACTTTGATTTACTATAGTAAAAGCTTTGATACTAGTAATAGTAAATTATAGTTAAAAATAGTAAATTATAGTAAACTATAGTTAACAATAGTACGTTTTGTTATGGGATCTTGATTCCAGCCGAAGCAACCAGCAGAAGTAAACATGCATTTGTAAACATATAGCCTATAATTCTTACAAAAATCAAGTAAAATACTTTAACTGTACTCAAAACATTGTTCAATGCATTCATTTTGTGATACACATGTTCCTCTTAAGGTTTTATATGTCCTATTTACAAAGGCTGAAGAAAGTTTATACTTTGGATCTTGAACACCAGAATGTAAGCTGGATCATTGATGTTACCAAACATTAGCATTTTAAGCAGTTTAAGCCATTTTACGGAAGAGAGAATAATTCTCAAAAAACCTGTTCCTTAAACGAAAATTCTCCAACAATGGAATTGATGCCATAAACATTAGCAATATTCTAATGTACAAAAAGGTTCATCTTTCAAGTTGAAGTTTACAGCTTGATTTTCTTACGTATATTCATCAACTATTGCTTCCTAGATCTTTAATTATTAAAACTCGACATTGTCGAGATATCGAAACATCTAATAATTTAAAATGGATTAAAAGATTAAAAGAATATGGTGGATGTTGAAATCGTGTTTTAATCGGTTGAGAGACAATAAAAAAACTATACTTCTTTTTATTCAGTAATCTAAAAGTGACTAAAGAATTTAATAGATTACATAATCAATATGTGTTGGTCCCAGCTGACAAAGCAGGTAACAATATAGGCTTTGTTCGTATGATTGCTTATTGCAAATGCATTTTAGAGGTGGGATCGGGTGCCATGGAGGAGTGAGCATCCCCTGCCGACCGGTCACACCCGCCGTGTTCTCCTTGTTATGATCGGATAATAACGAGAAAATCCGTCGACAATTCAGTGTGTAAATAATGGCCTAACAATTAGTATGAAAAACGTCAGTCAGCATTTGACTTAATGAAAGATTGTATTTGCTGACAAGATCTTTGTATCGACCAAAGAACTTACGAAATGATGACTTTAAACGAGATCTGATCCCCAAAACTGAATAGATATTAAATCCGAAACTCAAGCATCTTTTGAATATCAGCTTAGGAGTACTTATGTTTAGAATCAGAATGCTTTTACCAAAATAATTTTGTAGATAACTAATGAAAAGAATCCATGTAACTTTTCAGTGTTTTTAAATTTGAATTGTTTATTGAAAGATGACGGATATTGTACATAATTTTAAATATAAATTAATAAATTCTTTTTCAAAATCTAAGAACTCTTATTTTGCATTTGAG